CTTTGTCCCTAAATCTCTCCACCCCCAAATCCTTCACTCTAGACATGATTCTGTTCTCGCTGGTCATCCTGGACGTGCCCGAACTTTTGATCTCATTCAACGCGACTATTCTTGGCCAGATATGCGAAGATATGTTCGCAATTATGTCACCTCCTGCGAACACTGCGCTCGTTCCAAGCACTCAACTCACAAGCCTTATGGACTTTTACAACCTCTCGATATTCCAGACCGTCCTTGGAAATCCGTTTCCATGGACTTCATCGTGAAATTACCTCCATCCCATGGCTACGATTCCATCTGGGTTATTTGTGATCGCATGACTCGTGCTGCTCACTTCATTCCCATCTGCGAATCCATGGATGCTCCAGAACTCGCTCGCATATACCTCGATCGCGTCTTCCGCTACCACGGCTTCCCTGAGTCCATTATCTCGGACCGTGGCTCTATTTTCATCTCTTCCTTTTTCACCAACCTCATGAAACTCTGTCGTACCAAGATGAAGCCTTCGACAGCTTATCATCCTCAAACTGATGGCCTCACCGAATGTACCAATCAGACTCTCGAAACCTACCTTCGCATTTTCTGTTCATATCAACAGGATGACTGGGTAGACTACCTCGCTCTCGCCGAATTTTGCTTCAACAACACCATCAATTCCTCCACCCAACAAACTCCCTTCTTCGCCAATTTAGGATACAACCCCGACTTCGACATCAAGATCACAGAACGTACAACAAATCCTTCCTCCACAGAACTAGCAAACCGACTCGACACTATTCATTCCGAACTCCGTGCAGAACTTTCCCATTCCAATCAATATATTTCCGAATTCTACAACCGACATCATCTTCCCGCTCCGAATTTAATATTGGCGACTACATTTGGCTCAACCATCGAAACATCAAAACTACTCGCCCTTCCGACAAGCTCGACTATCGTCGCATTGGTCCCTTTCTAATTTTAGATAAACAAGGCAATTCTTCTTTTCTTCTTAAATTACCTTCATCTCTTTCTAGATTACATCCCGTCTTTCATACTTCACTCCTTGAACCTTATATTTCTCCTTCTTCTATTCCGGACCGCATTTCTTCTTCTCCACCTCCGAGCATTCAAATCCCGCATGACACCTCATCAGACATCGCCACTATCATCGATTCTCGAGCGTTGGACGACGTTACGACTACTTTGTGCATTGGAAATCCCTACCTGACTCCGAAAATTCTTGGATTCCATTCGCCGAAATACCAACATCACTATACAATATTCTCGAACAATTTCATCGTCGAAACCCCACTCATCCTCATCCTCCACGCCTTACACTCTCCGATGTCACTCGTCCTATTATCACCCATTGGGACGAACTTCCTCTCATGCCTGTTCAGCCCAATCACATGCCTCCTCGCGCTCCCTCACCACCACCAGAACCTTGGATGCATGATTACAAACCTCCCCAGCACTTAACCACACGATCTGGTTGCCCAATTCACGCTCCCCAGCGACTCGATCCCTGAAAAAGGGGGTAGTGTGATGATCCGCTCGTCGGGACGCGTCTTCGGACTGGGTATATTTTTAGCTCGTTATATTTTTAGCATCTCATTCTCATCTATTGGACTTGATCATATTTCATTCATTCCCTGACTCGTCATTCCTTCATTCATTCTCGGACTATCGGACTCTTAACCAGTTAGCCACTCCTTTTCTTTATCGTTAGCCTCTCTTTTCCTTTTCCTATAAAAGCCTCCATAGCTTCGCTTGTAAATTCCTCATAGGATCAACTCCAATAGTATTGATCCATTCCCACGTTCTTCCGCCTCCGAGTCGCTCTCTCTCTCCTTTTCATTTTCGACCCGGATCACGGATCTTTACACTTGGAGAGTAACGTTGTATCCAAAGACAACGCGAGTACGTCTCTCCAGCAAAGTGGACCGTCTTATGAAAAGAATGGATCTCAAGCTTCTGATTTGGATTTGGACAGATTTGAGATGCAAACTTGCACACAGGAGTAGTGACGTGAGTGGCCACAGCAGAACAGAACACCCATAAGTAATATTCTGAATCAGGCCCAGGAAGAACTCTCGACAATCTGATTTTATTCTGTAATTTCTGGCTCCCTCGTTTATAAATCGATTCTACCGGACTGCCAAGCATTATTTAGAGCTGTACCTATTCCCAAACACCCCTTCTTCAATGGCTTTGATTTCTGTAGGAAAGCTATGGTGAGGCACGAAAGCAAATGTATAATGGCAGGGACACCTACGGAGAGCCAGAGTCTTGGAAAAGAAGCGACACAATGCAAGATTGCCTGATTACAATTATTGACCAGTCAGATGAAATTCCTATAATACTGAAAATATGACGCGCCTTGGATATTATAGAGCCCGGGAAAGCCAATGTCACGATAACACCCGCTGAGTTCTCCCTCCTCGGTCAGTCCCCATATTTGGGTAGATTTATCAGCGACCTCGTCTCCAAAGAGCTTCCTTAGGCTGTCGCGTGGATCCCCGAGTCTGCCATCGTGTCCAGGTTAAATCCTCTCTGCTTCAATGTGGCAGTTTTGGGCGGACTCACCCAGTGCAGAATACAACCACGTCGGCGCTGAGCTCGCTTCCATCTTCAAATTTTAATCCTCCTTCAATGAATCCTTTAATTTGACTGTCATTCTTGAGCTTGATTCTACCGTCTATTATATATTGGCTGCCTCCCATATCTATATTGACTGCCAGCTTTAGTGCCTTCATAAAATAAAGTGGCTTCTTACCCATGTAGTACCCTCCCGCTTTGGTGAACACGCCGAAAAGAAGACCACAATCTTTGAAACCTGCGTTGGTGCGAAATCCTCGTTTATGAAGGCCATCTAACGTCTCTCTATGCGTAGTTCTCAGCGATTTTGGTTGAATTAGCATACTTCAAGGGAGCTCACTTATCAGCATCAGCTATGAGGTTGGTCATTCGGTACGTGATACCGGCCATCAAGAGATTTGGCATCGAGTTGTTGAGTCTGTCAGCTAGTTCTGTCGGGGGTCCATTCTCAGAGTATAAACCTAGACATGATGGTTTTGAGCCGGTATATAGATGTAAATAAGCAAATAAAACTCGCCTCCAAGTAGCATCGGTATCCCTTTCTTAGCTGACATAATATAGGTTGAACTTCGTTGGAACATTGTAACATCTTGGTTGAATCAGGTCGAGCAAATTTATATTATATTTAGCTGAAATCTTCTTACCAATTCCATGATCGGCATAGTCGACGCAGATGTCGTGCGCTGGTTTAAGTCATTAGCCAGGTTGTAAGCGAAGAACATCGTTTCAGTTACCTGAAGTGCAAGAGCCAATGACAACAACTTTCTTTCCAGCGTGGTCTGTAGCTTTTTCGTGCTGCAAAGAGTGTAAAACCTGGCCCTTAAACGAGGCCTATTTAAATCATGCATCAGCGATCATATCATCCCAATTTAGTCAATGACCTACCTTTCCGGGAATCTCTGGTATATAAGGTTGTCCTCCTTTAAAGCCCATAGCTAAGACGACATGCTTGACCTTGAATACACGTTCGCCTCCATCTGCCTTCTTCACGGTTACGGACCACACTTTGGTTTCAGGGTCTTGGGTGGCTGCGGTCACAGTCGAAGAGGTCCAGATGTTTAATTCCATTGCTTCGGCGTAAAACTCAAGCCAATTTGCCAGCTACCAATCCATGAGACGTTTTCCGAAATAAATTCATTTGAAGATTTTTACCTTCTTTGCTGGGGTGTAAACGGGCCAAGTTGGCGGAAAGCTGACATGCGATCAATCCAGGATCCCAAGAATCACACGATGAACTCACGGTAGATACGGAAGGTGGTCGAACCCTGAGAGAAAGCAACGTAAGTCGTTCATTTAGTAGCAGAAGAAAAATTACTTGCAGACAGTGTCGTGTAAGCATAATGCTTCATAACGCCACCTCCAATTATCACCTATCCTTGTATTCTTCTCGATGATCAGGGTCGGAACGTCTAGAGCTTTGAGGCGGGCAGCTGTATCGAGTCCGCTATGGCCTGCTCCGATGATCAATACAGCTGGGTCGTTCGCCTCAAAGTTGATTTCCTTCTTTCGTGCGCTTTCCCATTTACCGTGGTTCGGTTGCTGGTTGCGGAGTAGACCTAACTTCTCAGGAAATCCCTTGAGATCCTCCAAGTTGGTGAATATGGAGTGGGCTTTCCAGGTGAGCTCTTGACTTTCTTTATTAGAGACAGGAACGAGCCTGACAACTCCGGAGCAAAGACCGGCCTTCGTCTCAAATTTGAATAGAACCTGGATCCAAGCGAGGTCAGGGAATGGTCTTTGAAGTTGAGGTGGGATGTCCGTTTGAAGTTTGACGTTGGTTATCTCGGCCGATGACAGCTGGCTCGAGAGAAACTGTTTAATCTTAGGAGTTCCCTCGAACGTGCGGATGTCCCATGATAAGGCCAAGATATCTCTCCAATACAGCGGGATGTCGTAAGGAGAGGACGGATCAACATGTTCAGCGCTGGTGAAGAAGTTAAGGGCAAAGGACGATGTGATCAAAAGGCCCAAGAGTCCATCGACATCTCCCTGTCCTGCATATTTGGCAAAGGAGTCAAGCCAGTCGGATGCTATCTTGACATCATCCAAATCCTCTGGGATGTGCGGATGACCAAGTTTGGATAGAGTAGGTAGGGATGCCTCTGGGCCTAGCGGGGTATCTGTCGCGGTAGCCGTCTTCTGCATTGCAGTGAATGTCCTCCTGATAGTAATCGATGGAAAAGAAGATATCGGCCCTGGACTGAAGTCATCTACCTTATATCCCTTGTGATTGAAATGTGAGATAGATGGCCCTATGGTCTATTTGTAATTTTGGAACTTCGGGGAGGAGTGTGCGAGGCTGAGAACCGAGGAATAAGGTCGGCTGTCATCTCGAATACGTGCCGATATAGAAACAAGCAAGACAAGAGGTCAGCTGAGCAAAAGCCATTCCAACAAAAAAAAATCAAAAATAACTGGCTAGCCCACCGCGAGGGTCGAACTCGCAGCCTTCAGATCCTTGAACGCCTAAATAATCGAACAGTCGTAAAAGTCTGACGCTCTATCCGATTGAGCTAGGCGGGCACTGTCCATCACGTAAGACGTCAATATGAGAAACATTATGAAATGCCAGGCTGGACTTAGAGAGTGCACGTGATATTCCGAAGCCGATTTGCTCTTGGGCTCAACGTCCATGTCGTACTTTGCCGTCCGGAAACCACTACACCGTCAGCGAGAATCTACTCGCATATTACACTCTTTTCGGCGTACTCTAGCTCGAACACATGTTGCAGTTGAGTCGCGCGTTCCTGTTGACCTGTCGTATACTTCGATAATACCGGAGGATGGAAATGAGACGGAAAGGCCATTGGTCATTCTGCATGGGCTTTTGTGAGGCAAAGCACTTTCTTCTTAGTTTGCAACCTCATACTGATTATACTATGCTGTACAGCGGGTCAAAAAGGAATTGGGGTTCCATCAGCAAAGCATTACATCGACATATGCCCAACCGACCTATCTATGCTCTCGATTTACGCAATCACGGTTCATCCCCTCACGTCTTGCCCATGACTTATGAGGCCATGGCATCTGATGTCCATAAATTTATTGCCGACAAGAAATTGAAGGACGTTGCTTTGTTAGGTCACTCAATGTGCGTTTGTCGTATCCCGACAATCCGATGTTAGATCAATACTCTACTTTTTCAGGGGAGGGAAAGTTGCTATGGCTTATGCACTATCCTTGAAATACAGGGATGCACCTCCAGAAACACTGTCTCAACTCGTCGTTGCAGATATAGCCCCTTCGATAGGCAGCTTGTCCCCGGATTTCATTAAGTATATATCAGCGATGCAAAAAATCGAATCTTTGCCCACTGGGACGATAAAGACGCGGACGGATGCGGACCATTACCTCAAACACTATGAATCGGTAAGCTGACGAGATACAGTTTATCCAGATCCACTGACATATTACCTAGGACTTGTCCGTTCGCCAATTCCTCCTTACAAATCTTAAAGTTCCGGTTCATGCGCGCACAGATCACGACGGCGGCCACGAGAAGGCGAAATTTATTGTTCCGCTTGATATATTATCATCTTCTATACCGAACCTCGGGTCCTTCCCGTACCAGTACAACGCAGAGGATAACAGCGTACCTACAACTTGGACGGGACCGACGCTTGCAATTAAAGGAATTAAGAGCCCGTTCGTACCCTGTCTATTTCAAGACGCCGGACACTTATATGTACAACTTCAGTTACATAAACCGCAAGAATTTGCCCGCGTTCCACGCCTTCTTCCCTAACATGCGTTTAGAAGAACTTGACACTGGTCATTGGGGTAAATTAATTTGTGCTATTGGAGAAAAGGATTCTCATCAATATTTCTATAATTACTGCAGTACACGCCGAAAAACCTACAGAATTCAGGAAATTGGTTGTGAACTTCTTGCAAGGCAGCTGAAGTCATCGTTTGCAAACACTGCCTATCGCTTACCGCTGCCGCTAAGGTCTCAGACGACGAACAGGCAGAAACTTCCACCCATTGGTGATATGGACTGACTAATAGTTCGCTGTGGCTGGTCACGGATTCCTCCTTTAGAAATCCGGCAAATTTATCATTAATCCTAGAACAGTTTTCATAGACGACTCATAGTAATCAAATAGGTACAGTTCTACTGCCGCCTAAGTGATAATTGAAGATACACCCTGTGCCACTGGCGCAGGTATGATTTATGCCCTCGTTGGCTTCCTGTTGTTCTAGCGTATGTAAGGGGAAGCCAAATTCCAGTTTAAATCACGGAATAAACTTACAACACATTCTTACTGTCTGTGGTCAAAATTCAGACTGCATATAAAAGTAGCACCCTACCTCTTCAGATCTTGAATTTTGCCAGCGGTTGGCACGGCCTGTAGCTGGGAGCTATAACAGCGATAATTATTACGCCAACAAACATATGGATAAAATCCGGGTAATTCAGTCATGTGAGTTTGTGAACTTCTCTTCTTACCCTTCATCTAGCAAGTCTGGCAAAGGATCTGTGTAGACTCGTGAATCATCCTTCTCCATTTACGAAGGTCCCACTGAAGTGACTCCATATGCTTATTGAAATCTTCCGGACCGTCTTCTGAAACCTTGAAAAGTACATAAAGGTCGACGATGAGTCCGGTTCAGCGCTCTGCTGGCAAGCAGAATCAGAATCAAGGCCTTCCGCCTTTACATTCTTGACAATCCTCTTGGCCCATTATGCTGCTCTCTGCTGCTTTACTACTTCTTGCGAGCTACGTGCACAGAAGTAACCTGTTCACTCTTGGCTCTTCCCTGCCTACCAGTGCAGCAGCAGATGTCATTGACACTGGCTACGCGAAATATTTGGGGAATAGATCATACCCGAATACTGTAGCTTATCTTGGAATTCCCTACGCGGAGCCACCGCTGGATGAAAGGAGGTTCAGAGCCCCCTTGCCTTTGAATAAGGCCCGCATCTCTTTGGAAAGTAAAGGACAAGTTGTAGATGCAACAAAGTACCCGGAATTTTGCATCCAGGGGACTACAGGAAGTGAGTCCACTTCTTAAAATTTGCGTCGCTTCCTTATTCACCGATTTTTTTTTGTACAGGTGGAGATGCTGGTGGAGCAGGTAGCGAAGACTGCCTCAAAGTCAATATTTACGCGCCGGTTGGCGCGAAGAAAGGGAGTAACTGTAAGTCTTTCTTCTAGCCTAGTGATAACACGTTTAATCAGATAATGAAGTGCCTGTCCTTGTGTATATACACGGAGGAGGTAATCGAAGCTGCAAAATATTTGTCCATCATGCTCTAATTGATTCTTAGGCTACATCTACGGAAACCCCGCAAACTGGCCATTTGACCACTGGATCAACCAAAGCCCTAATGTTGTAATCGTCTCTGTATACTACCGTCTGTCTGCCTTCGGCTTCCTCGCTACACCCGCCTTCAGTAACCCAGCCAACGGCAATCTAAATGCAGGTTTCCTTGATCAAATTCAAGCCCTGGAGTGGATTCAAGAGAATATCGCTAGCTTTGGTGGTAACCCTGCAGAAGTAACTATTAACGGCGAAAGCGCGGGTGGAAGTTCTATTGAGCTTCACCTTGTTGCAAATGAGGGTCAGAAGCTCTTTAGGAGTGCGATTGCGCAAAGTGTGTACAGGACACCTTTGCCCACGCCTGAACAGCAAGAGGTGCGTGTTGGTCTGTCGAAAGCGTTCATGATATTTCATTTAAATGGTCAGGGTCTCTTCAATTTCTTTGCCAATCATACAGGATGCGGGTCAGGATCTGTTACAACTCAACTCGCTTGCCTGAGAAAAGTTAGTGTCAGCGCACTGGCAATTGCTCAAGATGTCGCTTATTATGATGCATCGTATGAGTCTATTACTCATTTCGTGATTTCGTCTTTTCTCAAAATTGTCTTCAGGATCGGGTCGGGTTACAATCTTTTTCATCCAGTCATAGACGGGAAGGTTCTTACTGATTTCCCAACGAAATCCATTCTGGCAGGTAAATTTGCCAAAGTGCCTTTGATTGTTGGGTATGTTCAAATGACTCAAATTTTTCTTTTCATTTACATAATTTATGTAGAGCCACTACAAACGAGACTCTTTCTGGTGGTGATGATATCGACGCTGCTATGAAAACGTACTTCCCGTCTATCACAGATGCAGATATCAGTGCGCTCCTTGACGTGAATTTTTCTTCATTTCATCATATGATGTCGCAGTTGAAGAAGATAATTTATAGCTGTACCCTCTGTCGGATTTTGCTTCTTCAGAAGATCTGCAATTCCAGACCTTGACTGGGGATTCTGAATTGAGATGCGCAGTGAGTTGCAACACAGTTATCTTGGTTTATATCTGTCCTTAACCCTTATGTTCTAGCGTTCGATACTGGGCAGTGCGTTTGGGAAAGCAACTGGCAAGTCTTGGACATATAGATACAACCAAGCCACTCCAGGGGCCGCGGCCGTGTACCACGCCTCTGAAAATTGGATGATGTTCAGAGGAACGAGTACAGGGTATGTTTTCTAAGCGCCATTACTTCAACGATTAATGGTCATTTTTTAGCTTAAACGGAACCACCACATTCCAAACGCAGACACCTACGCAAAGAGCGTTTGCAGAAGAGCTAATCGCCTATTGGCTCTCCTTCGTACGCTCAGGTAACCCAAACACCTTCAAACTTGGCCGCTCACCGAAATGGACGTCTTTCACTTCGAAGAGCTCGCGGATCGTGCTGACTCAGGGTCCGGGGAATACGACGACAGTTAGTGGTAGTACTTTGGAAGTTGAGTCTTCTACGGAGACAGCACGTTGCAATCTTGTAGCAAGCCAAGTTTCGGCCCAAGAAAATTAGTTGATTATGTACTATTAACCACATCTTGTAGCACTAGCTATGAGAATAGAAAAGCTTATGTACTGGGATTTAAATATGCCACTGAAGGATTCATCTGTGCCTTATTCTAGATTTAAATTGCTTAGCATGAGGATCTAATCAGCGCTCTTTCACGCCTGATGAGTTGAGCCCCTGAATCTGAGCCAGTCGCGTCTGATAGCGCGTGATATCGACGGTTGTTTGGACTTGTGTACGTGAGGTAGATAAACCTAACCCCAGCCTTTCCGGTTCACTGTCGCGCTGCCTTGTCATCTCTTTCTTATACCCTTCGTCCCCTTTGAAGGCGACAATATGGTTCAACTCACCATTTCTACTGCTTCAAAGCCTCCCGCTTTCGCCCGCGGCTTACCTGTCACAATAGACATTGCTACTGACGCCACTGTTGGAGAGGTTAAACGGGCAGTACAGGGCAAGTTCCCAAAGGTAATCTTTTGGTTCCTAGAACCTTTTCTGTCTGCTGACTTTGCATTCTTTAGTTCTCGTCTACGCGTCAGCGTATTACTCTCAAAGGAGAACGGAAGCCTTTGGAAAATGAAATAAAGCTCAGTGATGTTCTCGACCAGAAGGCTGGCGCTTGGGAATTGCAGGTGAAGGATTTGGGTCCCCAAATTAGCTGGAAGACTGTATTTCTCGTCGAATACGTGAGCGAAGTTCCCTTTCTTTTAGTCTTTTG